TAGGGGTGGGGCACACAGGGAAGCTTCAGAGTTGGTCAGGAGGCAGAGGGAGCAAATTGAAAGATGGGCAGGAGCCTTTATTGTGGTTTCCTTGGGAAGGAATGGATGAAGCAGTGTAAACAGACTTAGGATTGGCCAGTCTGAATAATTTCAGTGGGCTCTGGAGTGTAGGGCTGTCTCTAGTTGCTACCTGGAGTGATTAAGAGAGGAGATTAATGGCCCTGAGTGTGAGAGCCCCATAGAGGAGGTGGTAGTGATGTGGCTCTGGGTTAGTTAGTTTTCAAATGAAAGGAGTGCTTGAAGGAGAGTCATTTATTATAGTTAAGAACTGGCCATTCCTGGGAAGGGCCCCTTTGCTAGGCCATTACTAGCTCCAATGTGCAAATGGTTCCAATCACAAATTAAACACACATTTATCTAAATATTGGCCGGGAACCATGCTGCCCTTTTTGTTGCTAAAGGGAGTCTACCATCTAAATATTTGCAGTTTTTTTCCCTCCTCCTCTTGAGTCACACCCTATCTTACTACAGTTTAGCAACACATAACTGATCACTTGACAGGTACTTCCATCAATGACAGTCTGACTTTCCCTGACAGTGTCAAAGCAACATCATGACTCATGTTAATTATTATACTTACCACCTGATTTGGACAAATTTAGTCTTTTCTGTCCATTATGTCTTCTATGTGTTACAATCTGAGATGCTGTTTAAATTTTATTCAGAGAGTTGGAGAACAGAAACCATGAGTGTTTAAAAAGCAAAAAAACAGGTCAGCCTAGAAGTTCATAAGCACCAACTATTTCACCCTATGCAAGTGCTGAAGACATAATGAACCGTTTCAGGAGACTAAATAGATGTGGTAGACTGTAGCAGAAAATGCATTTGTTGCCTTAATCTTTCTGCCAGTATTAAAATATATTTCAAGTATTTTATTGTGCTTACTGATTATTTTCTTCAACCTTACACTTATAATTTCTCAGATTATAATTTATCTTAATTCATATTTTTAAAACTACAGTTTCCATGGGATAAATATGCTAGAAAAGCATTCTGCAGCTACACATGGGATGTTAGTAGATGCTAAATGAGAAAGAATATCATAGTCAAATAAGTAAATGCTAGATTAGACAATGTTAAATTCTTTTTGCAGGACTTTTCAGGGACTTTGATAAGAAAATGTGAATTGCAAACATCAAGGACTGATATATAATACATAACCTGTTCCAAATCTCATAGGCTACAGATCCTTCACAATTTTTTATTCGTAATGGAAAGCATATTCTAAAGGAATGAGTGGCAGACAGTATTTGTAAAGCATCAATTACATGCAGTATACTATGGATCAATAAAAAAAGTTTAAAAAATGCATTTTTCTGCAATGTAGGAGTCAATTTTCTAGATGGGAAAATAAAGCATAAATGCAATAGACCTTAAATAATGGTGTAAGGAAACAACACAGAAGATACCCTGGAATGATATATCATCAACTGTCAAATGAATAATGCTAACGGTTTTTTTAGTATAGAGGCGGGATAAACAAACAAACAGAACACAATTTTCCATACACTTATGTACAAGGGACCAGAGGTACAAAACACATAAAATGTGGTTGCTATGTTAAAGAGGTGAATAACCTAGATGGAGAGCCACTGTGTGAAACAAGTTAGTGTGATCCGAACATAATAGAACAGAGCTTCTTAACCTTTACATGCACATGCAATACCAGGGGGATCTGCACTGAGTCGGTAGATTTGGGTTGAGGGTCAGATTCTGCATTTCTAACAAGCTCCCAAATGATGCTGATGCTCCTCAAAGTGTGATCCTTGGACCAGAGGCAAGAAGTTAGGGCAGGAGTTGGCCAACTTTTTCTATAAAGCCCAGATAGTAAGTAATTTAGGATTTGTGGGCCATACAGTCTTTCGCAACTACTCAGCTTTGTTGTCATAATGCAAAAGCAGCCGTAGATAATATGTAAATGAATGAGCGTGGTTGTGTTCAAAAAAAATTTATAGATCCTGAGATTTGAACTTTCTACAGTTCTCTATGTCACAAATATTATACTTTTAAAAAAATGTTTTCAAACATTAAAAAATACAAAAACGATTTCTTAGCTCGTGGGCCATGCAGAAACAGGCAGTGGACCTACAGCAGGCTGTAAGTCCGCAGAGCTGGGAGTTAGGGGTCGAGCTGTACCCTCCCGTGGAGAGCCGACGGAGGTTTCCCTGTGAAGCACGACTGGCCAAAGCAACTAGCCTTTCTCTCTTTTAAACCTTTATTTCATTTTTTTTCATGCTTCCTTTTTTCTTTAATAACTGGTTTATATATTTTTTATGAAAGATGAAAAATTCTAGTTGACAATATAGACAGACAAACCCCTCAACTAGTTTCAGAGTTTACCAGGCATTCTTTCTATCACCTGCAGCATGCAGCGCAGGGCCTTCCACGTAGAAGGTGCCCGGCACGTGGGTGTTTGGTTACATTTAATCTGTCAAATGAGCCTTTCCCATGGCAGTGAGGAGGGGATTAATGTAGAGTGTAAGGAGAGAATTCCAAAGAGGGCGATGTGTCAGGAACAATAAATCCGTGCAAATATTTGACGGAAAGAGAGGATTAGTATAGAAAATGATAGAAAATAAAATCAGGGCTAAGTTATACGGAATGCCTCAATACAGGTCTGAAGTTTAAGGAGTTGATGTGTGCACGGACGAGTTTCAAGAACTTTAATCTGATACATGATATAGAAAGGATTCATAATTTACTGGAGATGAAGAGGTCAATGAAAAATTTAAGATCAATTAAAATTTAAGCCATAGTTCTCATGGGTGAAGATCTGGACTCTGACTGGGGAAAGAGTAGAGAAAGGAAGGAACTGAAAGATAGCTCCAGGCTGGAATGTTCTCCAAGGCTTGAGAAAACAAAGGAAACCACAAAATACCCCAGAAGCAAGAAATACTGCTCTTCTCAATTGTCTCAAATGAATGTAATATACATTGCATTGTATAGCATGCTCAGTTGGCTGGGTTTTGTTTTGTTTCTTGAAAAGTATTTTAATTCCCCAAATCATATCTGTTCTTTTGTTAGTATCCCATATTTATTTTTAATACAATTTCTGGAGTTAATGCCAGAGTTAATAATCAGAAGTATTAGCAAACAGACTTGCTTTGTTAACATTATTTTCAGATTAAGTATAGACACATACCTATATTATGCTATCAAAATACAGAAAAAGTTAGTCTTCAGAGCCATATTTTCACAAAAGGGTATACCAAGTCCAACGAATTTTCTAGAAGATTAGACTCAGAGGAAATCTCCAAGTGCTAATTAAGAGCTAAATGGACAATACAGTTCCAGAGACCTCAATCCTTTTAGTTGTAAGTGGCACATTCCTACATATTTCTTTAAAAATAAATCACATTTGGCTGCGGGTGGGGGAGGAGGTTGGGGCTTCATAGTTTTTGTAAAACTCCTGTTGAGAGTTTGAGGTGCTGGGGGAGTAAAGGAAAGAGTGTGAGAGAGAACCTGTGTTAAAATAGTCTGGCAGCTTGCAGCCTCCCACACCAAGGTTCTGGTTGTTTGGGAAAGGAAAAGTGCTGACCAGCAAGAATGAATTACAACTGCTCCATTTCCCCAGTTGTAGAAGCCAAGCGGTCTGCTAGAAAGGTTTGTAAATATCGGAAATGTGGAAGGCATTAAATTTGTTATTGCTCAGCTGATCAGAAGTCTTAGGGTCAATGAAAATATCGCTGCCTCTGATTTTTTTTTAACACGGTGATTAGTTTCCCTTGATATGTTAGATATTTTGAGCATAACATTTGTATTACTTTCATATTTTTCTTTAGATAAGAATAATAGATAAAACTGTAATAAATGTAAGAGTCATTTATTATAAAACATTTTGTAAGACACTTTGAATTTCTGTTCCTTTTCTTCTGTAACTTGCAGTGGTCTTTCCAAGCTTGACAATGTTGCTTATTTCCAGCTTGATAAAATGTACAGGATGCTTTACAAACAAAACCTATGGGGAATTGTCTAGCCGTTCATTTCATGGTCTAAAATGTAGAGTTTCCGTCAGTAATACGGACACAGATCTTGTTTGATCAAACAAGCATCTGATTACAGAGCATCCAGCCTTTCACTGCTGCTTCATTATTTTAAGCATCACCGTTTCCTTTCTTTCTCTCTCTCCTGTCCCCGACCTGCGTTTGGCCTGCAGATGGTTCTGTGAGGGGAAGGAGCTGCGCAACACTCCCGATATTCAGATCCACGGCGAGGGCGGGGCCCTCCATACCCTGGTCATAGCAGAAGCCTTTGAAGACGACACAGGTCGTTACACCTGTCTGGCTACGAACCCCAGTGGCTCAGACACAACTTCGGCCGAGGTGTTCATTGAAGGTAAGGAGAGGTGAGCGGCCCAGGAGCGTGAGTGCTCCAAGGGCTTCAGCACCAGGAGGGCTTCGCTGAGAAGACGCTTTCCCCATGCAAGCAGCAGAGTGGTGCTGGGATTCAAAACCCATTTCTCCTGAACACTTGATAAGTAAATCAAACAGTTCTGACACTTAGGCATGCGTCGACCATGTCTGAGGTCAACACTGGTTCCTTGTAATTTGAAACATTTCAGCTACATTAACAAATTTATTTAAAATGTAAAGTACCCGATTTATTATTGTTTTCTCTAGTGAAAAAAAGAATGGAATCATGTTGAAATACTGTAGCTGTCAACCAAAGTTATATTCTAAATTACTTAGGAAATCATGAGAATAAGTGAATGTTTTAAATATTCTTATTTTGGTTACATTCTAGAGTTTTTCCTCTTTTAAGACTGTTGACTAAGAATTAAAGAGGGGCAGGCAGAGAATTTTTTGACAAGACTCAGCCTGCAGAGAATTAGAAAACTTGGTATCAAAGCATATAGTTTTACATTACCATTGCATTTTGATCCATGCCAATAATTTAAGTTGGGAGTGTTTTAAGCACCACAATGTTGTGTCATCCCTAAATCCATAAATCAGTATGTAGCCTTATTAATTGGTTGCTTTTCAAAATAGTAGTTAAAATATAGAAAGAAAATTCAATTCCTGTACCTTATTCTCCATCTTTTTACTACCGTGAACTGTTTAATACCACGAGATTTCTTCATTATTTAAAGCAGAAGAGAGCAGGATGTGAGCCATCACTTCTAGCTCCTTCAAGAACTGACGATTTAGCTTTAGAGGGAACTGTTACCACTCGCTGAAAGTGTATGCCTTTATGTCTAATAAAAGGCTCCTCTGCATTATCTTTGAAAGCAACCATCTGTGAGCTCCTCGAGAGACCTTGTCCTGTTAATAAAAACATTCTGTATATAGCAGTAACTAATACTTACATGGGACTTATAAATGCACACGTAATATACCTACATAACCATTTAAACTTCGCTGTAAGCCTATGAGGTATTATTAGTATTCCCTTTTCACAGATGAGTGAACTGAGACCCACAGAGGTTAGAGGGACTCATTCAAAGTTACACAAGGATTTAAACCCCGGCAGTGTCTTCCCAGGGCCCATATTCTTAACCACTATGTCATACCCATATTGAGGTGCTGAAGTCATAGAAAAGAAATGATGAAGGTTTTTCGAATTTAAGTTAGCAGTAAGTATTAGTCAGAAAACTTCTCGAAGTGCTTTAGAATGTAATAAAGGGCACTTAAAATCCCATTAAAAATTGGTTGTTAATGATGATCAGATTTGTCTCTCAAATCCAAGTCCAGATAGAGCACCTTAAAATTAAACGCCTAGTTTGCTTTCAGCACTGCAGGACATGTGGTGAATTTTAGCGTGCATTGCGTCTCTGCTACAGGTGTTAAATGAACTCACATTAATTTAAGTCAGAGCCTACCAACTCAGTTCAGCCAGCACTTCTTAAGGCCCTACTATGTGGGAGACAGTGCAGGTACAAATACGATTAAGACACAGTCCCTTATATCGAACAGCAGAGATGGGCACGTTAAAGGAAAAACAGAATACAAAATATTAAGTGATATTTTATTATTATTATTTTAATTCTCACCTGGTGATATTTTTTCCATTGCTTGTCAGAGAAAGTGGAAAGCGGGGGAGGGAGGGAGAGAGAGGGAAGGAGGGAGAGGGAGAGGGAGGGAGAAACATCAATGTGAGAGAGAGACGTCTATTGGTTGCTTCCCCCACACAGCCCAACCGAGCTATCAGCTGTTCAAGTGTATATACATTTGGGGGGACACCCTGTATATAACATATTCTCACTTTTCATATGAAAAAGGAAGAATGTCTCTACCTCTGAAATCAGTTTCAGTATCTAATCCTGGTAGACCCAAAACATTCACAACATGGTCTTTAATTGTATTTAATTGAATTTGGTCAGAAGCTTCTGACCCATCAGCCCTCTTTTGCCTCTGAAATCATCTGGAAGAGCTACTCGATGGGGGAAAGATCCACCCCTAGTTCTGTATGCCATGTGTGTTTCACACCCTGGACTTCAACAAGGACAGTGGATTTTTTTTCCAGTGCACAGTTTTCCACATAATAACACTGAACTTACTTAGCCAGCCTGCTGTTGGGCATCTGCGACTTCAGATAGAGTGTGAACAGGATAAAGAAGCTGGACAGAGTTAGAATAAAGAGCCATTAGGAGTCAGTCTGCTAGGCCTAATATAAAACACTAGCTCATTGGCCTTGTGAAATATGAATAATAATTTAAAAGAGAAAACCCTGAGAGATTTCGGTATATTTTTATCCCTGAGAACAAGACCTTTAGATAAATTCTTAGGCTCTTATGACTAAAAGTAAGAAATTTTTATATTTTACTTATCCAGCGCTAAATTAGACTCAGTCATGTCTCTATCGAGTTGTTTCCTAAAGCACATTATTGTTAATGGGTCAGCATGGTCACTGTTAGCAGTGTGGCCTTTATTCTAAATAACCTCACAAACCATGGAGGGTTTAAATTGAAAAGTCACGTTAGCTGATTTATACAGGGTGGGGCAAAAGTAGGTTTATTTTAAAATATGTTAATGTAAAATAATACATGTTTATAGAAAAACATGAGGACACAAAACAGTTTATTCTTGTATTACTACTTATTAATTATTGTGTTATTTGCCTTACAAACAACCATAAACCTACTTTTGCCCCCCCCCCCCCC